TTACGATATATTTATTATTACTAACAAACTATACATTTTAAATGATGGAATGTTTTCGTGTCATATACACTTTAAAAGTTTAGCCTTATCTTTATTTAAAAGACAATAATTGGTTGCTGTTCCTCGTTTTTGTAGATTGAAGGCAAAGCGTATTCATACAAGGTAGATGTTTTCTCATTGGGTCTAATTTTCTTTGAGCTGTTTCATACATTCAGCACAGAAATGGAGAGAATCAAGGTAATAAAAACTTGTGTGTGTACTGTTTTGAATCTTTTCATGTTTAGCTTTTTTYTGTGTGGTCGGGTCCAGATCGATTTTTGCCATATCTCTCATTGTCATCTTCATTCATCCATGATATTCTCATCAACTCTGTGCCCATCATGATGCCTTCTATAATTTCCTCAGTCTAGCAACTAATTGCTGGCAATATTGAAAGTATAAAGCAGTGATAAAATTATCATCAATAAAATTCTTTGCTTTTCATGTTTCAAGCCATATTCTTCCTCGATCAACAGGTAATGATTGATGTTAAACGAAAGGTTATGCCAGAGGAGTTTGAGTCCAAGATGGCACTCCAGGTAAAAAGAAATCGTTTCTCTTTATAAAACACAGTTCTTATCAGTATGATGGCACATGTATTCAAACTATGTTGCCTTCATTATTACGCAGAGATGGAGGATTGACCCCCCCCCCCCTTCCAATGTAATGAAATCTGCTTCGTGATCAATTATTGATCCTTTGCCTTTTATGTTAATGAACTTTATGCTATTTTTATTTCAAGACCCAACTGGTAAAGTGGATGCTGTCTGAAAGTCCAAAGAACCGACCCACTGCCGCAGAAATACGTGCTAGTGAGATTTACAGTAATGTCGTGAAAGATATTCGGCGAAAAAACAACACGGAGGCACTTGAATGAGGCCACTTTAACTCATTTTCAGCACTCCATTTTCTCAACTATTTGGTTTTTATTTATCAAATACAAAAATATTTACATGATATATATATATTGGTTTCTAAATGGATTGTAAATAGTTTTCCGGCATAATTTAATTTTGCCATAAGAATCCAAATTTCTGGGGGTTTGGAAAGAGACCATAATCTAGTATTGTTGTGTTAGTGATCAATAGGCATGTTAAACATCGAAACAAATGTAGATAAATAATTGAATTTCATAGATAATTTTATTTAGAGTTACCCTGCGATCAGAGGTTTTTTTCTGACCCTCCGTGAGCCTCTGCTCGCAGGGTAATTTAGAGTTGGACCTCTTTTAAGAAATTGAAAAAAACGCAACAAAAAAAAAAAACACAAATGAGATGGAAAATATTAATTTATTAAAAATGTTAAAAGGAAAATACAAATGTCATATCTTACGAACATACGTTAGAAAACTGAAATAAATTATGCAGTTATTTGTCAACGACAATTCTTAATTAAAAAACTTTATTTATAAAATTGCGGTTCATATATTTCAAAAAGTATGAAAGAATTGTATTGAAAGGATTTTTTTTTCGATTTCAGAGACCATGCATATTTAATACTTTATACTCCATGTGAGAGACAAAAAAAGTGCCCCTTAAAGAGGTGGAATAAAAACCATCTATTCAGTTTATTTTTGGGAAAGTAAATCTTCGCTCGCTAGCATAGCTTTCACTTTGTTTTTGCACACTTCACAATCTTCTACAACGTTCCTTGCCATTTCTTCTGTTTCAGGGTTGAACAATGTTGCTACGTCCACAATTAAAGTATGGCACTTAACTAAAAGGGGGAAAAACAAAGCATTAACTAACATTGTTTTATCATTCTTAGATCTATTATTTCGATGCGACTGGTATTTTTACCATAACTCGCACGTTTTTTTTTCCCCGCCGCGCAGTCGAATGGTAAGTTGGCTTGAAACATTTACTTGTCAATAAGCATTGCCTTCCTTTGGCTTTGGAAAAGGTTGTGCTTCGGACTCTTGTGTAAGTCATCCAAAGATTTTTTGTGGGACACGAAGGTTGACGTTCGGCAATAGGAACCCGTGGCCAGGAAAGAACGAGGTGCTTACCACTTGCTTTCCGTAAGTTTGCGTTAATTTTGTCCAGAGCGTTGCTCATCTCTTGCATTTCTCCCATCATCGCTGCGTATTTATCTAAAATAGTTCAGTTATTAATAGACAATTTGATAAGTAACTTCAGCAAACAAAAACTTGAAGTGCATGGGCAGGAGGAGGATAAACAGAAGGAAAGGAAAAGGAAAGAGTTTCCCCATGCTTCAAATTTAATAAGTCGAGGAAACCTCACCTTGCCCTTCACGTGAAGAGTAGCTATCTGCAGACGTGCTGGCATGTTTCTATTGGGATAAGACAAAATGTTTTAACGTATATAGTGCAACAAAAAATCAGTCAAGCAATGAACGCCCAAGGTGGAAGACCCAAGACGCAAGGCTCTCGCAAAATACGATCAGATTAGTATATGCGTCAGTTGTGGAGCACATCTGCTGTCATCTATGCAACCAGTTACATCACCCATCCTCCCCATCAGTGCTCAGTAACCGGGTATCATTGCGAGGCGGCTGTTTTCTGAATGGCAACTACTGACCTAAAATCATCACAACTTCTATTCGAAACCGCCAAAAAATAACTAATGCTCAGTTCTAATTCTGGGTCGTTTTATGGGAAACACCCAGAATGTGTTATCCGACCGTGCGTGGCAAAATTAATAACACCTGTGCTAATATCTTTAAGTGCACCCAGTCACTGTAGGTAACAACATGATATTTAAAACTTCCTGTTTATCGTGTTTTTATAAAAATATGGTACGCATGCATAAAGGGTGACAGCATAATGTGGGCGAAGTCTTTAAATTATAGATTGAATCTAGATTGAAAGAAAATATTTCAATCGTACCCGTAATAACGAGGAGGCACTTGCCGGATTTGGTACTCGATGGTCGTTGGATTGATCTTCAGACAATGGACTTTGAAATAGAAAAGGACAGACATCTATGAGTCGCATTTAATGAATAACAAGTACTCCAAAGTCGGCTAGTCTTTTGCATACATTCTACTCTGAGTGTTATCTATAAAGTTGGGCCAGTGCTAGGAGTGAACCTCATTGTAAACATCGATCAAAGTCTTCAATGAAAATTTCTGATAATCTTTAAGATAATTCATGAATAAACGAAGATATTAAAATTATTTGCATAAAACTGATAACAGTTAATTTTAATTAGTGTAGACTTGGGGTTTTGACTATCTAGAAAATCCATAATCATATCCATAAAATGCATAAAATGGATTCTAGTTTTGAGTTTTAGATGCTCTTAATACTGAGTTTTTTTACTATAATAATTATTTTGGCCACCAAATTTTACAAGCTCATCACAAATAACGTTTAATTTATTTCGAATTTTCTTTTTACGCTTTACTTTGGCATGAATCRGGTGATTAATAATAGTAATAGGAAAAGTAAGACATCTTATTCATTTTTGCTCCGAATAAGAAGGTTTTTCGTCAGGAAAGCGGTGGCAAAAGAAAAGATTCCAACTTCGATCATCCGATTAAATCCGAGTGAACAGTGGAATAGCAAAACACAATATATTTAGTTATGAAGAGCTTCAAAAATAACAAAGTTTTTTTCAACGTCCTATAGTCGATTAAAATAAACACCTCGTCAACTCGCCTCGTCATTATACTGCGATTTTCATCAGAAACATGGGAACTCTGTGTCTGCGAGCTGCACTAATCGAGTCGGTACCTTTCATAATTTTGACTGGCGAAGCTGCAGTAAGGTTATTGCTGAAAACTATCGTATGAATTAATGAATTTTCAATTCCAAAACTGATTATAATTAGTTAAATATAATCAACCCTACCTGCAAGTGTTGTGAGCATCTACGTCCATGTTTTTTTGTATGGTTAGAAAATCTTTATTCCCGGCAGGAACGGAAACTTGGGCTATGAAAAAGACAAAAAAAACTTTATTATCAATACCCTACCGCTTTGTTTGGTTTTCCGATAATAAGAATGGTAAAAGGCTGCCTATCGTTGAAAGCGTTTTAGTAGGACAACTTTAACACCTGTTCCGCAGTTGGATGATGGTGCAGTAAAACTCACATGAAAGATTTATTGAAGGTGTAAAAAAATTTAGGAAAACCTTTCTCTTACCAGAGATTATAATATTTTTCAAACATGCTATCCTAAATCAATCTGTAATCGATATATACTTTTTTAAGAAACCAGTCTCGATAAGTAATTTAAGTGAAAAGGCGAAAGCTTATCTAACTTCATTGTGAGTGTTTGATAGCTATCCGTAACATAACGCTAGGAAATATTTTTAATCATGCAAAAGACGACATGAAATAAATGTATTCATTTATCTTAAAACAAACAAAACCTCAAAATTGAATATCCAAAATCTCATTTGTATGTATTAATAGGATTAAAGTTGTAGAAAAAACGGTTTATTCTAGTTTTCTACCTATAATCAAAGTCGGACTACCCAGCTGTTTCGCTCTAAGTTCTGGCCACTAATATTCCGTRTATCTTGCATAAATGAGATAAACCAAGACGCCAAAAACGACTGCAACAAGCAGAGAAGTAACTCCCAAAATAACTTTAAAAGTACGAGGCTGATGATGTTGTACTTTATGATGATTTAAGGAATGAGAAGGTCCTTCTTCTACATCAAGTCTTTCTTGTTGATCCTCCATTAAATGTTCAGACGCGGCTGTATTCATTTTGAGCGGGAAAACCCAGGCGCGCGCGTCGAGAAAACACTCCAACAATTTATTCATCCTGGATTCATCTTACTATATGATTGGTCTAAACTATTATTATTCTCGATTATTATATCTCATATTTACACTTTTCTGATGACGTCAGTCTTCCTATTTTTGTCTTTCCAAAAACGAAATGATCTTAGCTTAGTTTTTCTAACAGACTGTCTATATTTTCTTTACGATTCTTATCAAAGCATTTCCCCCTTTTATATTTTATTTCTCAATGAACAATAAATATGTGCGTTCCGATATGTTCCTTTATTTTCTTTTACCTATAAAACTCCCTACCTTCTTGCTTTTATAAAACATTTGAAAAGCTTGGAAGATTAGTAGTAACCAGACTCTCACGGCCAGTTCAAATTCCAAGATGGCGAAGGAACTGAGGAGGTTTATGGAATTTGGACGTAAAATTGTAGCCATTGGACGAAATTATAGGTGAAAGTTAAGAAACATAAACATTTTAAGAAAATTAATTATGCTTAATTACTAAGTAGTATTGCTCTTGCTACATTGATATTATATTTACGATGTATTTATTTTTTTAGGGACCATGCAGCGGAACTCGGAAATCCCATTCCTGAAAAACCTTTGATTTTCTTGAAGCCGACTTCATCTTACGTCTGTGAAGGCGGGAATATCGAGGTATGGTAGCTTATGATCATTTTCAACAAGGAAGACAGATTTTTGTTTTTTATTTTCAAGAGTGATGGGTAAGGGTGATCATACCACCCCTCCCCTGGTGGTGAGAGCCAATGGCCATATCTTTCTATTATAAGGTATAGCTTGTTCATTTTTTTATTTATTTGCAGATACCATACGGATACAAAGAGCTACATCATGAAGTGGAGCTAGGAGTTGTCATTGGAAAAAATGGGTCATGTATACCAGAATCAGATGCTTTGAGTTATATTGGGGGATATGCCCTTGCAATTGACATGACTAATAGAAAATTACAAAATGAAGATAAGAAAAAGGGCCATCCATGGTCAATTGCAAAAGGCTTTGATACAGCTTGTCCTATTAGCAATTTTTTTTCCAAATCTGAAATAGCTGATCCTGATAATCTAAGATTATGGCTGAAAGTAGATGAGGAATTGAAACAGGATGGGAGTACATGTGACATGATGTTTAAAATCCCATTTTTGATTAGTTATGTTAGCAAAGTTATGTCATTGGAAGAGGGAGATTTGCTTATTACTGGTACTCCTTCAGGAGTATCAGCAGTAAAAGCTGGACAGATGATTACTGCTGGGATTGGTGATATCTTATCAATGAAATTCCCAGTTGTGCAGAAAAGTTGAATTGCACAAAACTATACATCTTGATAATAAAAAAATTAAACAAGTAACATTTTTAACCTCATATTTGTTTTAAGATGGATCTCAATGGAGTTTGACAGGTTAATATAATCTTTATCATATTGCAGTATACTTTTATTTTGCTACTCATCTCACCAAACCAAGGACACTACCACGTTTTTTGGGGTTGGAGAAAACATAATTCTAAGTTTTATTTCAAAACTTTTGGTCAAAATCAAAGTCAACTCAAGTGTGATATTAGAAAATATGGACCGCTTACCACTTCAACAGAATAAATATATTATATGTCAGAGTTAAGTAGTAGTGCTAAAGAAACCCATTGATATACCTGAGCAAATCCGTCTGGATATGAAATAATTAAAAGAATAGAAGATTTGCAGAACTATTTCAAAAATGGGGGACATCATACTGCAGTATGATGATGAGTTGCGGCAAATGCCGYAATGTGCAAATTATACATAGGAATATGTCAAGCTTTTTTAACCAAATATTAATTTATTTTTCATCCAGAGTTACTACATACACGGAAGTTGATCTAGGAATGTTTAAGGGGGGGAGGGAGGGTGTACTAATGAAGGAATGTACACCACAGAATCCCCCTGGATCTGCCCCTGATACATGCATACATAAATTTTATTTTTATACTCAAATTTCCAAAGTAGCTAATGTATATCTATAAGAAAAACTCTGATATAACTTACAAACATTACCATAAATTTCTTTTGATTTTACTACTAAAAAAAACCCAAGAGTATGGGTATTTAATGATATCACTGAAGTTTATACTAGTTTTAGATAATTATTACAAACCTATATAGATATTACAAATCCATACTAGTTTATCATGTTCCAAATACTTTTAATGACAACATTTTCAATATCAGGGGCTCAGATTGTTATTAAATTGGGTTTAACTAAAGGTAGAGGGGCTAATTTCTCTTCACTGCCCTCTCTTTTTACAGGATCATATTTCATCCCTGATGATGTTCCATTTCTAAGGCAGGGTTTTTCAAATTATCAATCATAATCTTTGCAAGGTCTTGACCAGCTTCTCCAGAGAATGTAACAAGCTCATATTTGCCTTTGCATTCTTTGTCTTCATCAAGGATCTGCTTTAACTTGCTAATAAACAGAACCACTTGTTGGTCTCTCTCTTCCCTGCTCAGCCCAGCATTACGATCATCGGACATATCAAAGAGTGTCATGAGGGGAGTGGCGTACTCCATCACACAGTAATGTTTCTTGTCTTTGCCACCAGGTTTTCTCTCTGTTATGCTGTGCACTGTATGCCTGTAAATGCGGTCTTGGATACCTCCCCTATTTTTCCTCAGTGGTGGGAGATTCTCCTCGTCTTTTATCAGCTTTTGTGGGTCTGTGTCTTCGTTTGAAATTTTATCAAAGACCTGACAATTTTTAGGCAGGATAATAAAGAGTTTTTGGACATCAATTTCAAAGCGGTATTTCTCAGATTCATTAATTTGTCCTTTCAGGGCAGGTAAGACAAATTTCAGATAGCCAAAGTAGAAGCTCCATGCAAGACCATCAGCCAAGTTCTTGTTTTGCTTTTCGTTGTTCTGCGAATATTCCACTGTCGAGGGATCACGTAAACCAACAATGTAGATGAAGATGGGCATAAACACGGCATTTAGGAAAAAGACACGTACATAGTCGGGATTAAACGATGCCCAGTCGTTTTCGTTGCAGAATACTCCAGCGATAATGATTGCGATGCATGTAAGCACACATACCAGAGCATTATTACTGAAACCAAATAACGCTCGGCCAGCTTTCTTGAAACTTCCTTCATATCGTGCATCAAGGTGGCGATATTCCTCAGTGAACAGGCAAAACCGACGAATCAATTCACCGATCAGGAGTGCCAGGAAGGAGAAACCAACTGCAAACAAGTAGACATTCCAAGATTGTCTCGTATTTGACTTCTCGAGAAAGAGAGTGAAGGCCAGATATATGAAAATAATGAACGCTGAGGCAAAAATTGATCCGTAACCTCGAGGTTTATAAAGAGGTCCAAATCCATTATTTTCTTCGGCTCTCGTGTTGGGCATTTTAGAAAACAGCAAGAAGAAGTATATCGAAAGCAAAGCAGGAAGAAGTTGAATACAGTCAGTAAGTTGCAAGTCAAGCGTTTATCATCGAAGTTCCTTTTCCTGGGGATTCCCCTATCACGTGAATAATGCTTTCGTTCAAATCCTCAATCAAGATATAAACTTGTCACATTCGCATTGGCCCGAACCATGGATGATATAATCCATGCCGAAACGATTCCAAAGATAGATAAAACTCTAAATTTTCCAAGGAAGTGAAAACTTTAAATTTTCAAAAACGTCACGTGACTGTAATCCAGCACCTACCTGATCTGAGTCTTCAATGTCTACAGGTCAGCTGAAATTCGCTTCCTGTGATATGTTGATTTTCTAACTGTCCTTAAACTTATGATTTTCGAACTTGTGTAAGTAATTTATAATGAGTAAATCATCACCTATATACATTTCTGATGATAGCGAGGATGAGAAAGAGAAAAACTGCAGCGATCGTGTTTTTGAGGAGGTATTTTCCGAGGATGACAACTCGATGCCAGGAAGCTGTGTTTTCAAGCATTTCTCACCTCTCACTCCAGTGAAAGTCAAGAGAGAAGCAGAAGAAACAACTCCTACCAAATCACCTTTGAATGTCTCTCCAAAAATTAAGATTACTGTTGATAAGGATCGTTTAAAATGGTTGTCCGGGGTTATTAAACTAGCTAGCGTTTCTCCTGTCAAGTATGAAAGCTCAACTTGTGAGGGCGTGTGTACCGCGACAAGTAAAGCTGTCAAACATTTAGAGGTGAGAGAAAAAACAATGAATTCAATGTGATGAGTCGGAATTACGTATTTAGGGTTAATAGGAAGAATGACGAAACAGCACACATTTTCAATATTTATCATATCATTTATCATATCTATGCACGGGATCTATGTTGAACATCCTTTTCCTCCACCCTCGGGATGACTGGGGAAAAGAGTGGAATGAAGAGATAAGCAAGTGGCATTATCTTGAAAGAGTCAGGATTCCATACATCTTACATCCTCCCCACGAAAGAAGCACTTAAAGAGAGCTATTACTGGCATCAAAATTGAGTGTCTTTGTAATGACCAAGGCTGGACTATTGTGTAGTTCCAGAAAATATCCATACCCCACCATGGAGGGAATTTGTAAGGACACCCCTACCCCCAGGAACTTCCAATTTTCTTCCATACAAACTCTGTAATTTTGGTCTTTTTCTGACTCCCCTCCCCTCCAGAAATTCTAATTTATTCCATTGGTGGGGTATGGAGATTTTCTGGAACTAAACATTAAAAACTATATATACTCATTTTATATATACAGATGCCAGACATAGAGGACCACCTTCTACAGCCTTCAAGTTCATACAGAGTCC